CTCATTGGGGAGTCAAAGGTAAATACTGAGAAGAAAGTAATCGGAAGGGAGTTCTACAGTTGGGAAGTTCGAGAAAATTAACAGTTGGAGTAGAAATGTAGGTTTGATTTAGCTATTTCAGCTGTAAAAGGATCGGACTGAGATGCCAATCTAGTAGCACGCTTAAATCTATGGTCTTGGGACACCAGGGGAAAAAAGTGGAATTGCTTTGAAAATATTTGTTGAAAAGACAGATGGAGACAACGCCACGTCAGTGAGACTAGTTATATAATGTACTCTATTTGTGGCCTGATTTGACTCCTGTAAAGATAAAATCTTGCACGAGGAGTAATAAACTTACTGGAGCCGTACAATGACGCATGGTAAGTCTAGATCACATATATCATGAGGTAACATGGAAGAAGATGGTTCCACTGTCGTTTCACTTGCTCCAAGAATTCGTGAAGTGAGCGGAAATTAAAAAAAATTATTTACCATTGTCATGGGTCCTTACCTATAACTACAGAATGAATTCTTCCTAACACTATGTATACTACGCCTCTCAAGAGAGAGGGTTAAATTGAGCCGAGCTTCTCGACTTGACAGCCGAACTCTCTGCCTCTGAGCAGAGAGGAACCCGGACGAGGCTCCGCCGAAGGGTAGAGCCTCGTTCGGGGAGGTTGACCAACCCGATTCCGTTTATACGGGTTCTACGGGCATTTTTTGGCCGAGCCTACGAGCTCGGAAAACCCACATTAAACTCGGCCTTGTGCCACATGCAACCCTCGTGGGGGTGGCTAGATACTGAATCAAGCCGAGCTTCTCGGCTTGACGGTCGAACTCTCTGCCTGTGAGCAGAGAGGAACCCGGACGAGGCTCCGCCGAAGGGCAGAGTCTCGTTCGGGGAGGTTGACCAACCCTATCCCATTTGTACGGGTTCTACGGACATTTTTTGGCCGAGCCTACGGGCTCGGGAAACCCCATTTAAAACTCGGCCTTGTGCCACATGCAACCCTCGGGGAGGGGGGGGCTAGATACCGAATCGAGTCGAGCCGATAGTAGTTCACTCCAAACCAGACTTCCACATCTTGTATTATTATTTCGTGTAATATACCTTCGTTATTTCTACTCTTGTCTTCGTGTTGTTCTTCCTTGGTCCTAACCTGGACCCTAACAACCATACAGCCTATGAAAGTGTTAAGTTATTTTAAGGATGATGATGACGTCGCTTGAATTAAAGCATAAAATCTGACAATCACCAGTTATTAATTATAATGCTTCATAACAGAGAACGGGGCAGAACCAGACTACAAGTACGTAAAAACATTTAGGAGAGCCGAGTTCATTTAAGCATATCATAAAAAGTATTATCCGGCAAATATATAAACAAGATATTTGGACATTTACTATTGATAAAAAAGTGAAATTTATTTTGATGCACAATATTCTTATAATATTTAGTGTGTGCGAGGCTGAGTGGTTGTAAGTTTAGCTTTCGGATCTTGAGACCTGAGTTTGAATCGTACGATGATTGAGATGATCCGAGCGTTGGAACGTGTCCGGAAAAACCATACCACGGGTTTACCCAATCATTGATAGTGAAACTGGATAGACGAAACTGATATTGCGTGATATCGCAAGTCATCGTGACCGAAGGATCTTTGTTTAAACTAAGATTCATACCAGATTATGGATTCTTTCCCAGAAACTGTACGTAAGGGTCACAACATCGTTGCAATATAAACCACAGCTGATTTCTGTGGATGCCGAGCAAACACAAGAGAGTTAGTTACCCTATCAGACAGACATATTTTGATACGAACGGCCAGCCATATTATTATTTTGGTAATAGAATTGTTTTCAGTAGGTAGCTCAATACGCATCTGTTTATCTCGTGAGATTCACTAGAAATTCAGTTTTTATCGTAGTGAAATCGGAGTGTCCTCTCCAGGACGCAGGACTGGACGATGGTATATGAAATGCGTGAGCTACACAGACAATATACGCCTCCTATCGGCCGTACTGAGAAGATCTAAAGGAATACAGTACAATTACATTTGGGGACTGTTTGTTCGCATGCGTTGCCGTTAATTTGTCAGCGTTAACAAACAACCACCCCTTCGTGGGTCGACCCTGAATTTTCTGTCTGGATTTGCTTCCATAGCGATTTCCGTGTTTTTCGGATGACCGCAATACAGGAGAGGTTTAAATCAGAATATTCCTTCCCCTAGATGGACTGCCTTCCTGAGCTGTCGAGCTCCATCTACCCGACGCAGCTGATTATGAGGCGCTAGAGTTCCGCCTTTGCCAATTCTCCGGCTTGGGGCTGGACTTAGTTGTTCAAAGATATTCGAGACGCATTCAGCGGAAAACATTTCATATAGGGTTTGGCTCGTTTCCACTATCACCCCAAACTAGGACAAACTTTGGAATATATGTAATGTACGTATATAAACTGTATATACATTACGAGTTTTACACAGGATTTTAATTAACAACGGAAATCCCACTGACAGAAAATGCAAGAAAATGGGGCATTTAAAAACCAATCTGATCAACTTTCCTTCAAAGATTTACTTAGAATTGATAAATTGTATTTTTCACACCTTTAAATCTGAGATCTGATCATTTTTTCGGATAGCCTTAAGTAAATTTGCCTATTAGGTGGACCTCGATGTTTGAATTTCAGGGAGACATGATAAGATCTTGAAATAGGTGAAACTTGTCGAAATAGAGTCATGTACGAACACGCCTGAAGCAGAGAATGTGAGGAAAAGACGAAGAAGAAGGAGAAGACTATGCCAAAAGGTATTGAAGAGAAACACACTTCCAAAAGTATCAGTTGAAAATTAGAAATTTTAATAAAAATACAAAGCCTTTGATAGTAAGAGAAAAAAAAGAAGAGAACGAGGCGAAAAATAGGTGCAACAAAAGAAAGAAAGAAAGAAAGAAGGAAAGAAAGAAAGAAAGAAAGAATGAAAGAAGGAAAGAAAGAAAGAAAGAAGGAAAAAGAAAAGGTGTGTGGATGAAAGGAAGAAGGAAAGCTTGACAAATAGAGTGTATGTGCAATGAATGAAAAAGAAAAAAGAAAATGAGAAAGATAAATACAAATGAAAAAGAAATTAAAGAAAAGGCGGGAAAGAAAGAAAGAAAGGAACAATGCCAAAAAGAGAAAGTGTGTGTGTGAGACAGAGAGAGAGAGAGAGAGAGAGAGAGAGAAAATAAATAAAGAATGAATGTGAGGCAGACTGCAAAGAAAGCAAGAAAGTTAAAAAAAGAAAGAAAGAAAGAAAGAAAGAAAGAATGCCAAAAAGAGAAAACGAGTAAACAAGAGAGTAAAAAAATAAAGAAAGAAACAATGCTAGGGAGACAGCAAAGAAAGAAAGAAAGAAAGAAAGAAAGAAAGAAAGAAAGAAAGAAAGAAAAGAAAGGCATTCAAAGAAAAGGCGGGAAAGAAAGAAAGAAAGAAAGAAAGAATGCCAAAAAGCGAAAGTAAGAGAGAGAAAAATAAAGAAAGAATGAGAGGGAGACAACAAAGAAAGAAAGAAAGTGTGAGAGAAAATAAGGAAAGAAAAAAGAATAATGTGGAAGAAAAAAGTCAGAGTGATAAAGCCAGATAGAGGAAGACGTGTGAAAGAAAGAAAGAAAGGAAGGAAGAAAGAAAGAAAGAAAGGAAGGAAGAAAGAAAGGAAGGAAGGAAGAAAGGAAGGAAGAAAGAAAGAAATTAAGAAAGAGTGCAAAAAATAAAAGAAAAAGAGAAAGAAAGGAAAAATTGAAAACAAGAAAGAAAAAAGAAAGAAAGACAAATAAATTATGAAAAATAGAAGGAAAGCCAAAGAGACAGAGATATATAGAGAAAATAAACGTAATAGATTTTAAGCAAAGAATACAGACTTTCATTTTTTATTATTTTAAATTAAATTGAAAGAAAAATGAATTGTAGAAATGAATGTAATAAAGAACAAAAATGTAAAAATAATGAAGGCTGGTTTCTAAATCTTTTGTTTGAGAAAATAAACGAGAGACGACGGAGCCTAAAAGGAAGGGAGGTAAAATCAAAAATAAAATAGGCTGTTAAAAAAAAGAGAAAACGAGAAAGTATGATTGAGAAAAACAAAAAAACAAAGGTTTTAATGAAAGTAGACCAAGAAAGAAAAAAAAAACAAACAAAAAAAAGAAAGAAACAAATTAAATTGTGAAAGTGCACACTTTTTTTTTTCTATGTGCCGTTTCCGTAGCAGTTGTAAAAACAATCGCAAGAGGCTAACACGGCTATATAAAAAAATATATACCCTGTTCGGTGGCAAAAGCTACCGGTGGCACCGAGGGTGGCAGTACCGCCTTAGCTACCGAAACTGTGTTACCTCCCCTGGTTGGCTGATGACGAGTTCAGGGTATCGCGCGTACCATTTTTAAATCCTGTTCCGCCATCAATTTACTTAAGCTCAGTAGGTAATACACTGTTTTCCTTTGTCCCTCTTGCCTTCAATCTATCCCGTGTGTATGAATTTTTCTAAGCACACTTTCCTCATTACGTGCCTCAGAAAAAAAAAAGAAATTAAGCATATATTTAGTGTAATGAAAGAAAGACATAAAGAAAGATATAAAGAAAGAAATGAATATTGATCCGTTTTTTTTTTACGGTTTATCACACCTTACAGGTTATGTAAAGCCAGAAAATATTTTATATTGCAAGATTTTTTTTTTATGGAAGATAATAATTGCTTAGCGATATAAATCTTACTAATTATCCGTAGCTAGAGGAAGAAGTGGTGAATCCATGCCTTTCCAAAAGGTATCTGGGCATACGTGAATATAAGGAACCGGACAGGAATTGGAACTTGGTTCATCCATTAACAATTCTGAATCATGATCCATTACACCATCCGTATATCTAAGCTTACAACAGCGAGCCAGCAAGGTATTGACCAGGTTCAACATTGCTTAACTTCATATGAGAAACAATGTTTCAACGTGATGTTACCGACCGTAAGACACACCACTAACACATCCACGCTTAT